TTGTTGTCGTGATATATATTGATCGAGTAATTGTCAACCATAGATCACTTGACCACCTAAAATTCTCTATGGACCTTTCATTTGTATGCTTTGTTTTTCTTTTCTTTAAAAAACCATGCCACAGTACAGGGTCCAACAAAATCAGTTTTTTGAAATTCATCATTTTTTGAAAAGAGGTACGTATGACAAGTCCAATAACTCAAAAGATTTATAGAAAATTTTGTATTTCTTAAATAGCTTTTGGGGGCCATTAACCTATCAGCTTCCATCTGCAACAGAAAAGTAAGAATTGTAAACAGAAAGACTCTATCAAGCCCTGTAGTCTGGCATGCACTATGAAGCCAAAGAAAAGTGAAATATATTAGATGAAGGCCCAGATGGAATCACAGTTTGCCAAATGAGCTATTATATGTTTGTATTTGATGCGGATATCATGAAAAAATTATGATATGGAACTGAAAATTTATTCATAGGTTCTCCGCTACAGCTCTAACATAATCTAAATATTTCATACGATTTGAATCATCTTATCGAGTAAAGGCTCATAGATTATTCTTGTTTTGTTATCAAGAAAACATACAAAATATGACATAAATTACTAGAGAGTTTTATTGAAATTCTTTTCTGAACGTATAGAAAATATTAGTGTATAACATTATGGAACACACTGAAAATATGCTCTTTATCTGTATTTGAAATCATGTGTTAATAATTATATCTGTAACTTTATTCTTTTAATCTTCTCACACCTTAGGATATGAAAAGTTATTCAGTTATCTATTTTTCTTTTTCTTTTCAAGGATCGGAAGCAGCAGCTGTTACTGCTCTAAGACTTACAAAAAGACGTCGAATAGCATCCGATATCAAACCAATTGAATTCAAAGTTGATCGTCCATTTCTTTTTATGATCCGAGAACTTAAAGAAAATATTACTTTATTTTCTGGAAAGTTTTCGTCATCACCAATATCATAGTGTGATTTTCTTGGATGAAGCAATAAAACTTCGTTCCATATATCATTAATCTTTTCACACTTTTTCTTTCGTATGATCTCGTAGCGGATAATGCTATTATTGTCTAACAAACTAAGTTCTTTTTTTTGAATATGTTACAAAAGTGATTAATGTGAATAGCCCAAATTTAAAAATATGAGATGTAAGATCTTAGAGATAAGTCGATGATTTTTCTCATGAACTTCGTTTCATCTTATAATATTAGACTAGATTAGAGATACGATCATGCAAGATCTCATCATTCGACTAGTTGAGCTGGGTGATGGAACGTGCATTTAATTTCCGCTTGAATTAGGTTCGGAAGCTGCTGCCGCTACGGCTGTGATTATGTGCAACCAATCTTTATCAATACGTCGAAAACCTGATCCGATCGTATTCAAAGCTGATCGTCCATTTTTATTTTATATCCGAGAAACTCGACATAATTCCACACTATTTACTGGCAAATTTCATATATCTACAAATTTATCGTCATAATATATACTTCGATACGTGCTTTTACAAAATTGACGAATAAATTTATTAAGGACACTTTTTCAGAGATAATACTCACGTTTGCTATACATTAGAATGAAGAATTAATATAAACTCTCGCAGAATGTTTCATTTCCATTCGAAATTAGAATTGCAAATTCGCCATTTTCTTATCTATTTCTTCTATCACTTCATTTAGGTTCAGAAGCAGCAGCAGCTACAGCGGTTGTCATGTTAGGCTGCGCATCAAGGGCTTCGAAATCATCGCCTATTGAATTCAAAGCTGATCGACCATTTTTATTTTTCATTCGTGAGAGCCGGCAAAACATTGTTTTATTCAGTGGCAAATTTGTTTTACCGCAAACAGCATCATAAAAGAAATATTTTCATTTGTTTGATAGCGCATATTCACGCATTTCTTATTAATGAACGAAAGGGTATATAATAAATTGGTAAATTTTTATTGGACTGTCCAATGTTGGAAAGCTCGAAATCTATTTATACTAGAATTTCATAAATAGATTAGAAAATAACTTAGACGAATTCTTTAACTTTTAGCTACAAGTATAATGTTGTCTGTCAACATCTAAATATTGATTATGTAAAAATGAAAATTTCGATCATTCTAATTTTCTCGCTGTGATGACGTAGTTGCTACGTTGTTCAACATGTATTCAGACGATATTGTGTTTAAACTGTGGTACTAACAGCCATACAATGATTCTGGACAAGTTGCTAATGGAATTTTTCTTGAAACCACTTTCCAATATCATGCTGACTTTGTTATGACATATATTTGCTCTTGTAGTTAGTTATTGTGTATGAAGAGCTCAAGAAATTGCGCGCTAAAACTCTGCATCAGGCTAATTTTCTCTTCACAACTACAGCTGCTATTAATTGTATGAAAAACATCTGACTATTGAATTTGTCGATAAACAGTACTCGATGCTGCAAGATAGTAAAAAGATATGACACTCTTCTCTCCTTCCTATGACCTTTCAATGAGACAAAAACAAAGATTTACATATTGTGATTTTGTCATAAATACGTATGAATTAGGATTTTCAATCACAATAACCAATCCTTTTCATCATTTCGTTAATTGATTATCTTAAACCAATAATGTTAATTTTGAAATGGTTAGAATACATTTGTGTATGTTTTAAATAGTTTAGTTTTTTATTTAATGTGCAGATAAAAAACTATCTTCAAGGTGCAAATGATCATGGATCGTGATGAATTGATTTGCTACAGTTGTCATATGAACGGAAAAAAAAAGTGTGACTTAGTTCAGTTATAACTTTGAAAAATAATCAATATCAGTGTTTGTTAAGTATTCGAGATACATCATAGTACATCAATACCTGCTGCTGTGAATATAATGAATATTTACAACAGCCTTATTTATCATTTGATTTACTGCTTGTAATAATAACTATATTGAAGTAAGAAAAACGAAATATGACGACGAAAAATAATGAGTGAATAGCAACAAGGCAAACAAAAAATAGAGCACTAATAAAAATAAAAAAATAAATTGTGCTCCAGACGCAGAAGTAGATAAGACAAGTCCATACTTTCATGGACGATTATCTTGTAATATAACTATAGTCTACGAGAGATTTTTTACTTTATGTATTTTTATTAATTTAATGAGGCTAACGAATATATGTGAGTTTCACATTTCAGTCCGAAAAGATCTGTGCTAACAAACTATTTTTTCACTCAATGAAAATATTTCAGTTCTCTATACATTGTGTGACGTTGAAATGTAGAAAACTTTTCAAATTTCTTGCACTACTTGTACAATGATTCTGAAATAATACTATTTTTCTCTAATGAAAATGGTTTCTTTTTTTTTTTTATCTATTCTTGTTTACAACCTGTGTCATCAATTAGTCATATTAATGTAATACATTAACCATTCAATAATGAGTATTTGTCGTTTTTTTTCCTCCGACAATAATTACAAAAAAAAAACAAAAATATTTTTTGGTAAAATAAGGATATAAAAAAAGCTATTAGATAAATTGCTCTCCCATTTTCGTTTTACGTATAAAAAAGAACATGACTTCATTGACTAGAGGTTTCGAACAATTCGAATCTAAACTTTTCTTAACTATTAGTCAAGAAAACCATGGTCAAAATGTATTTCTTTCACCAACAAGTATTGCTCTTGCCCTATCAATGTGTACAGTTGGTGCTCAAAATGAAACATTACAACAAATGTTACAAGTATTTGGAATATCATCAAAAGAAGAATTAACTCATATAGCTGAACAAATTATGCAAGTGTTTTCGCGTGCTAATCAAAATAAATCATCAACAAAAGAATGTACAAATGATTTTACATCTTTAAGACCAAGAGCTTCTATTGAAACTCATATGATGTCATTTCAACTTCAATTAGTTAATCGTCTTTATGTACAAAAAGGATATAAAACACAAGAAAAATATTTAGATCGTATTGAACAATCTTTTCAATCTAATGTTAAACTTGAAGATTTTCAAAATAACAGTGCTAATGTTGTTCAAAAAATCAATACATGGGTAGAAGAACAAACAAACGGACGAATATGTAACACATTATCAACAAAAGACGTCACTAGTGATACACGATTCGTTCTTATTAACTGTATCTACTTCAAGGTAAATATGGTTTTTTTCTATATTATTTTATAATTTCATTGTAATTCGTTTGTTTTTTTCTTGTGTCTTTTATGATAAATTTAGGGTGAATGGCAAGACAAATTTCAAGCAACAAATACTGATAAAAATGCAAATTTTTATCATGCTAATGGTGTCATTTCAAAAATTGAACTAATGTATAAAAAAGAATCTTATAATTATGTTGATAACAAAGATTTACATGTTCAAATTGCTCATTTACCATATAGAAGTTCAGATCAATATTTGAAATTTGTTTTCACAGTTGTTTTACCATATGAAGGTATTGAATTAAATAATGTCGAACGAATATTAATGTCAAATCCAAAATTAAGACAACAGGTATTAAATATGGAAAGTGCACCATTAACAGACCTTTCACTTTATTTGCCGAAATTTAAATTAGAAACTAAATATGAATTAAAAGATATTCTTATCTCATTGGGAATGAAAGATGCATTTAGTGATAGAAAAGCAGATTTTAAAGATATTATTGGTACAATAACTGATGAAAATCGTATATGTATAAGCAAAGTAAAGATTTTATTAAGTAATGATACTATTGATTCGTATGCATATTTATTCTTTAGGTTATTCATAAAACATTTCTCAATGTCAATGAAAGCGGTTAGTAGCTAACTTTATATGTTTTTTTTTTCTTTTTAAAAATAATTGATGAGAAAGAACGTGCCGGATACTTTTGATCATAAAGTTTTATGAAGTTTTTTGATCTGTAAGCCATATATTGTGTGAATCACGATGTAAAAGAAGTGTTGAAGTATAAGATAGACAATGGGACCGTGTACCTCTCCCCCACTTCTCTACAGACATGTCAGAGATCCTTAACAACGTACTTTCTTCATCATGGACTGCGACAGATCTTGTTTATGATCAAAGGTTGTATATGACTAACGTCTCTTTATAATATATGAACTAATTCTTTATTGAAGTTTTGAATAATTAAGTGTAAGAATGATGAAGAAAATGTGTCTCAAACTAGATAGAATAAAACAATCTCCCTGTGATTAAAAACACCAGCTATATTGTGCTTCACATATTAATCTCGTAGATTTTGCGCTAATAGTTTTTAATGAATGTTCAAGTTTCATAAAGTCTTTTAAAGTTTTCAGTTTCTTCCTTGGTCTTAGAGCTCTGAAATAAGTATTATGAAACAAAGAATATCCATTGATTATGTTTGTAGAGGGAGCAGAGACCCTCTGACAACGTTTCTATGACGGGGCTCAAGTTCTTTTTAAATGAAACTTCATCACTGGCAGAGAGGTAGGGACAGTGAGCCTTGGCCTAGTTTCGCTATTATTTGAAACCTATATTAAAATAAGAGGACACAATGACATAAAAATTCTAAGAAAACAAGTAGTCTTCCTCATTCTCTACTTTTTTTAATGACTCGAATGAATATGTTGACAAACAATTTTGTTGTTGGTTTTAAACAACGAAAATTGAATCCATCTTTTCTTATTTGTACATTTGGTTTAGGTACAGAAGCTGCGGCTGCTGCAGTGGTCATGCTGAGACGTTATGGGTCTTCATTTAGTAGTAGATCATCGTCGATTGAATTCAAAGCTAATCGACCATTTTTATTTTTCATTCATGAAGTTCAACAAAATGTTCTTCTCTTCAATGGAAAATTTGTTTCACCATGAGCTTTTAATAACTTACCTATCAAATATTTCTGGCATATTACTATTGAATACTGTTCTTATTTTATGAAAGAATAATACATGAAATTTGTTTTTAATATAAAATTCATACCAATAGATCTTGGTTAAACAAGAAAATCTTAGTACAGTTGCAACTCACAAAGATCAAATCAATAGAATAACGAAAATCAAAAGTGACGACAAAGATCAATTATTTGATCAACAAATATGAATAAACAAAAATATATTTAAAAAATATATTAAATTTAACTAATCATGAATCTATAGATGTTTCATATTGTTATTTGCAAATCAAAGATTCTTCCTATTAAAACTTCAATCTTAAGATATTTAAATCGTTTATAGCATTATAAATTAAGCCTTAAGTCCCAAAATGAAAACAATTCTACCTTCCACTAAGTACATGAGTTATTTATGAAACTGTACATAAATGTTCGACTCATGGAAATACACTAATAAAAGCTTCAGGTCTCCATAACGTACTGTTCACGAGATTTTCATAGACCAAATTTCACATCAGAGTTTTTGTGCGGAGAAATTTTTTATCAATATATTTCAAACTTTAGAGCTCAGATTGCTTTCAAACGAAAGCAAACTACTTATCACTTTGGATGAAGAAAAGAATCATTTTAATTTTTACTCTATTTAATTTTTCGGATCATCGAAACTTCAAAGGTCTGAATATGCAACACATGGTTTTCTAGAAAATTCAACGTTTATCTATCATTGACGATTAATTAAAACTTCATTTCTCTCAGTCGAAGAACTATGCATATATCTATCAATAAAAACAAAAGGTAGCTATCTAGTATGAAGTATATTACGAAAACCACAAAAAAAGTTTTTTTCTCTTATGTAACCTTCCTATTATTACTTAAAATAGATATGAAACATAAGTATATTACATGTCAATTGAAGCACTTATCTGTGTGCATTATATTGTCCTTGTACGAGATAAATCACGATAGAGGATGTTACCCACCATTGCCTAATAAATCCTACTTTGATCGAAGAAAAAAATAGCTACGGATAACCTTGGTCAAGTGTAAAAAGGTCCAAAGATAGGAATCCCGACTTATTCGAACGTCAAAATAATATAATCATTTGTTAGTTGATGATAAAAGATTTAATATATGTATTTCATTGATAGAATCTATATTCATAAGAAAAAAATATGTTGTTCTTATAAACGCTAGTTAGTTCATATTTATGATTGAGCTGATAAAAATATTGGTCAGTTGTATGATATAATTTGATCGATGAAAATACTAGTTGATTTCAAAACTTTGGCCGGATCGGTAACTGGTGGATTGGATGGTCTAGTAACGGTTTGCCTGTCCAGTTCCATGTATGATATGGGTGTGTGGGTAGGTAAGAGCATCTCATTTATATAACCCTAAAAAACCTTTCAGAACTAAAGATATGCTTATGAATTCGTACATTACGCAACTTAGACAACATGTTCATAAGCCTCTCTGAAAAATCATTTTCTTTTCACACAAAGCGAGTTTTTTGAGAGAGAGTGCTTCTCTTAATCATCAAATCAGCCTATATCAGTTTTCTATTCATTAAACACACAAATACATGACATCAAAAAAAGAAGAAAGACAAAATTCAAGATTAATAAAAAAAAAATTAATCGAATAAACGAAAATTATTCAAGAATAATATTTGTACTTCTATCGGATAGATTATTTGTGTGATTTAAAATAATATTTAAGACAACAATAAGAACAATAACAATAAGAAGAAGAATTCCAATAGCAATATATTTTAATTTATTTATTGCTTGTTTTCGTTCAATATCTTTTCGATAATCCATAACACCAAAACCAAATGCTTCATTTTTATGTAATAATAAATCACTTCGATCTAATAAAATATTTAATTGTTTATTACGTTCCATATTAGAATCAATGGCTGTTTGAAGTTCGTGTTCTGTTTGATTAGCTATAACATGTAATTTATGTAGTTCATCTTGACTTGCTTCACCTTTTGTTGATAATAACGTTGAATTTGTATTGAATGCCATTTGTTCATCATTCATAATTAACATATTTATTAAAAAAAATAGACTAAACAATTCCGATAACTTTTGTTCAATAAGAAAATATGAACGTAGTATAATAGTATTCAAAAAAAAGTCCATCCGTACTTCAAAAAAAAAAAAAACGATAAGGCAAAATAAGCGCATTTTTTTGTAGTTGAATATTTACTGAAATCAGGATATTTTCATATAGAAAATAATTCAAATAAGGATATTGAATATTTAGAAATACATGTATTGTACAATTTTTGTATTATATGTCTTGTTATTTACTAATAATCATTTTGGAATATGCAATTTCTTCATTGATATTAACCGCATTAGAAACTTCATAATAAATGATATTAATGTAATCATTAGAATCGATTATTTGACATATTGACAATCCACACTAAAGTAAACTTCTGTACGGTAAGGCTTTTTCATACCCTTTATCCTACCCTATTGTATAGATTTTGAACGCTACGCTAAGATCTGCCGGTTTTGGCATATGTCAACTTATTTTATTGATTTTCATGGATACTTAAGTACAAAATCATCAATATTTCAAAATTTTCGTAAGAATAAAATATCATTAACAATTTCTTCCCTCAATTCCCTTTTCGCTTTTCCAAAACACTTAAACTTACACTAAAAATATGTTCATTTGTGGCTGGACTTGCTAGAACTTCAAATAGGTTTTTCTCAACACACTAAGTTGTAGATAGTTCAATGATTATTTGTCTCACTCTACAAATTTGAACATCAAATTTCAAATTTTCATTTTCAGTAAAAGTCGTTTTGAGTTTTTGAGTATCAGAAATCGAAAATAGACCACAGAGAGTCATACTACTTTATATTCCGAGAGATTATATATAGATGAAAATTTGAATGAAAATCGTAGGAAAAAATAAATAAAATGACCATCGAAAAATTAACCTATTAGTTCTGTATCATTTGATTCTCATAATGAAACTTATTTATTGTCTGTCGCTGATCATATTGGTGCATCCAATGCGTCTCAACCTTGTCTTATCGATCATTCGACTTCATCGTCTTCAAATTCTCATAATTCTGAAAAAGCATACTTTTGATATGTAAAATCGATACAGTGAAACAGGACAGGACAGGGTATGAGAATATCACTCTGTGAACATCTCTAGTCCATACATTTGTTTGAAAAAAGAAAACTTAATTGGATTCATTTTCAAGCAGTAGATGTCAAGAATACTTTCTATTGTTCAATATTCATAATATGAAGAAGCTTTGAACTTATACAGTATTCTTACTAAAGCGACCAGCAAGTAATCTTTAGAAAAATATTATTGTTTCTAATCAACTAATAACATCTATTTTGAATGCATGCTTTTTCTAATGTAAAACTACTTAGGCTGCTTCTTCTGCTTTGGTAAAAAAAAATATTTTTGTATGAAACATGATCTAAGCAGAATATTGAGGCATCGTTATAAAAATTTGGACCAGTCATAGATCATGACAGACATCTCAGCAGCACTCTTCCGCATCACAGACATTGACATACGATTGTAGACGGTCTATAAATAACATCTTGTTATAATATATAAACTACTTTCTTATTCCATTTCTGAAGGTTTAAGTAAAAGGATAATGAAGAAATGTGTCCCAAGATAGATAGAATAAAACAATCTTTCTGTGATTAGTACGTGTAGCAACATTGTGTTTCATATTTCAATCCCGCAGGCATAACACTAACAGTTTTGTTATTAATGATCAAATGAATGGATAACAGATAGAATGGGTTTGATAACTTCTATCCAATGGCAAAAGCATATCACAGTAAATTGAGCAACAGCCAAAATGTTTCATACTGTAAAAGCTCATGGTTTATGCACAAAATTTGTTGCTAAAACTTATACAAGGAAACTGTTTTGAAAGTCTACATTTATAAGAAATATAATTCCAATTTTTTTTTCATTGATTCTATTTTAGCTTATCGGTTTCGTTTATCTTCGTTTTCCAAATATATCAAATAATTTTATTAAATTTTCATTAATCTCTTCATTGAACATAAATTATTATTTCGAAAAAGATCCTCAAATAAGAAAACATAAAGAACTTGAAATAGATATATCATAGAGTAATTTTGAACCGTTTTTTCCTAAAATCATGTGTTCAATCTATGTTTACTTTTTTTCTTTATAAAAATGCGTTCAAACATATTTATTGTATTATTAGTAATGGTAACGATTTTACTTTTTATTATGTCATCACGAACAACAACTACAACAGAAATCTTTACTTCACTTCACCGAGATAAACAAGCTTTGTTCGAACCTTTTCTCAAGTAGCAGTTCCACACGCTCAAAAGAAAGGAAAATCATGTTGTGGTATAAATTCTGTGTTGTAATGAATACTGACAGCATGTTGTTTTTAATAGTAATCAATGTAATGAATTCTACATTTTGCCATTTTATTTTTCAATTATCATAAGAAATTATGTCTTGTAGTATTCAAAAAAAAACACTGAACTACGATTTACAGAAACTGTTTTCATTTTAAATTTCTCTTGAGATGATTTATTTCAAGAACCTAACTGTTATTATTTTTTGTTCGTACTATAGGGGATATTAATGAAAGAAAAAAAAGAAAGAAAAAGTAATTGACAGAATATGAAAGAAGGAAAAAAAGCAAAGAAAAGAAATAGAAACTTCTTTATAAACAACTTTTATCTTCAGACGGCATTTACAATGCAATAAATAGAACATTAAAAGAAAAAAGAAAAAAAGAACTTGACATTCATTTTTATTTTGTATTATTTTATTTTGTATGTTCTAAATAAATGTAAGTATCTAATGTTGTGTATATTAATCAAAACGACAGCAACAAAATTGTAAAGAGTCAACCACAACTATAATGAAAACATCAAAGCAATGCGTATATAATAAAAAAATGCAACGATAAAAAAAAAGAAACGAGTCAGTCGAAAAAGAACACCCGCAATATTGACTACAGTAGGCATGCTTTTAAATGTGACTGCTATTACGAAAACAAAAAAATCAAAATGAATACCAAAAGAAAAACAAGAATACGAAAATCATCTATATTTTAATATTATAGCATTCACTCATTTACATGTCGAGTTTAGCAAGTCAAATAATTAGTGTTCTTGATTGTTATGAAGGTCGAGATGCTGCTATTACATTTACACTTTATTTTTGTTGTTTATTGAGTGGTTTTTATTCGTATGAATCAAATTTACATCAATCTTTACAACGAATATATAAACGTTTAGAAGATTGTCGTGTTGTCTTACGTCTTTATGATGATTTGACCATTCTTCGAGATTTTCTTACTTATGAATTAAGACCTGGTGTAAGAATTTTTAATGATACAATTATTTTTTGTTTTATTTTAAATATAATATTTTAGGAACGAAATAGGATAGTACGCTTCTTAAAATGTGTACATTATCTTTCATGGCTTAGTTATTATCCATCTGAACATATTGGTTGGCTTGGAGAAATGAATATGATTGATGTTGATCCAAATTTATGGGACTTCTTGACGAATTTTTTTTGGGCATCAGCATTAATTACTTCTGCACTTTGGTATAGAAGATGTTTTGTTTTTTTTTTGAATTCCACCTTATATTAATTTTTTTTTATTTCTCTTAGGAATGCTTGCGTATTTTTACAATATATGACTCAAAAGCGTTATAGTAAAGAAAAGAAAGAAGAAGAGTAAGTAAAAGAATTGAATACATATTTATTGATATGATGAATACCAAGTTTTTCAACAAGGTTTATTTTCAACTTTCTTCTATCGCTGTAAGCGCTAGAAAGAAATATAAAAAGAAATAAAACTGGTTATCAAATTTTCAAAGATAGAGGCTCCGGATAATCAAAAGCCTGATTTTTCAAAAGTGTTCTGCAACGTTTCTTAAGTGAGATACAGCAATTTTATGGAAATTTCTAAATTCGTTTCTTTCTTATCTCGTATACAAAAGTCATTTTTTGACCTTCAAAATTCCGTTCTAAATGCTGAAAAGCTATGATTGTCAATTTCTGGAAACAGTTTTGTCTACTAGAAATCTTTCTAGAGCTTATTACAGCGACAAAAAAAAAATTGCAAAATAACTCGTGTTGAATAATTTTGGTATTCATTGTAAATATTGGTCTATTTAATTCAATCGCTAATAATAAATAGGAAAAAATCGTTTATTCCATGGACAGCTGCTCGTAATGCTATATTAGCAACTGTTCGTGATGGTACTGAGTTTATGGTTGCTGTTAATAATCTACCTCGAGGGTATTTATGGGCCTCAACATTAACATTGATTCAAGTGGGCATGTTCGGTACTTGTTCTGCTTTCGTACGTCTTTTTACACTTTTCAAATTTGATCCTACTCAATGAGATTTTCAATTGATATTCATATTGATGTGTTTGGTGTCCTCGGTCATTAGAGCAGATATTCTTTTTGCACTTCAATTATTACTAATTACTTTTTAATTTATTTTCAATTGACATCTACTGTGATGTTTTTTTTTTCTTTCTATTTAGTGTAAAATTGTATTTTATTGCTTTTTTTAAATAAGAGCATCGAACAAAAGCTAAATTGTTTTAAGAATAAGATGCAAAATTAAAACAAAAAGAAACAATTATTTCTTTGTTCTTTAGAAAGAAAAAAGAATTTGTTAATTTCTCACGACAAAAAGTATTATTTTTATGAGTTCTTTTAATCATTGCATAAGACGATTATTTATGTGTGTTTTTATTTTTATTTTCAATGAGGTATGGAACGAAACAAAGCTCGGAAAGAAGTCAACAGCATTCCTCAGTTGTACTGCAAATTTCTGATTATTTTTTTAATTAATACTCAATAAAAAAAAGATTGTATCTCTACCTGTCCACGTAACGGTGCACTCGTGTGTGCAAACTCGAACTATAGAGTTAATCGAAACAAATATAAGCATCTTGTAGAGTAATGTTGATATAGTAAAAAAATTCATGCTTTATATTTGTATGTCTATCTTCGAGAAAAAACTTCTGTTAAAGAAATGCCCTACTGAATCAATCAAGATCAATACATCTCATTGTTTTTATGGTCTGTCGTTTCCTGTCAACGAATATACTTTTTGTAAAGGCAATTATATAATATTTAACTATCCTGAATGACCTCTTAGTTCATGCCAGCAGACATAGATGTCATCGTTTCTCAAAACAGTTATTTGCATTTGTAAGTTATTGCATTTTCTAGCGTTATTCCGTCACGAAAATGTCTTGTAATTCATTTTAGACCTTAGTAAGATATTTTTGATTTCACCAATAAATGTTATAACGTCATCTATTTATGCTTTATCAGACGAAATAATTAGCTGTCTTTTAAATCTTCGAGTCTAATTAGAGAAGCGTAATAGAATCACCATCGGCGGACTAATTGTAGTTTCTATGAAGATTAGAAATATCGTGTTTCTTACATATTATCACTCCAGGTAGGTGTTTTAATGTGCAAAAGAGATTTAAACATCTTACTGACTGGTTAGGAAGTTAGTCTATGATGATTATCATATACTTTTAGCGTTTGTTTTCAAGAAATATTATTCAAGTGCTAATAACTGATAGTCTGTACATTATTATCACGTCACTTATGCTGTTTCCTATAGTCTATTTCAGAGATGCCGGATGGGTCGGCTTAGCACTGGTACCTATTGGGTTGAACTACCCATGAGTTAACCCTAACCCAAACCAATGGACTGGACAAGCGATTTGAAAAATTTTACATCTGACCCATCCATCAAGATTTTAAGATAAAATTGGTCGGTTAAACAAAGAGTTACTCTTGGGTTAATCCATGAAAAAATTTATATTTTTAAGAAATAACTTATGAAACACCAATTTTTAATTTTTCTTAGGAAGTCTTGTGTTTTTTTAAAAATATATACACTCAAAAGAGTTATAGTAAAGAAAAGAATTGAGAATATCCATCTTATATAAGGAGTACTGAGTTTTTTTTAACAAGGTTTATTTCTGATTTTTTACGTTACCGTAAACGCTAGAAAAAATCAAAATAGTGATTCAAGTAAAGAAAATTGTTTTCAACAGGACTATAAAGAAATAAAAATGGTTATCAAATTTTCAAAGATAGGGGCGTCGGATAACCAACAGTCTGGTTTTTAGCACCTATTGTCCGAGCAAAAATAAGAGGCAAGTGACCATTTTTTGAATAATTTTAGATAAGAACAAGATAAAGAGCTATAGGTTTTTACCATTCGAAAGACCAATGTCCGGACCATCGATTGGTATAGGACTCATTAAGACGAAAGATGTTTTTTTTTATAGGCATCTTTCGATTAGCAATAATTTTTTCTTTGTGTACTTTCATCAATTTTCACAATAAGCTCAACTCAAATTACGTCAAAATGTAGCTCAAATTATCTTTTTTTTGCTATATAATTAACATTCATTTTTTAAAAATTCACTGAGAACACGAGGTTGAAACATAATGAAACATGTGACAATTTTATAGTGAAAAAAAGGGAATTTGTGCTACGTTTTGACGTAATTTGAGTTGAGCTTATTGTGAAAATTGATGAAAATACACAAAGGAAAAATTGTTGATCGAACGATGCCTATAAAACAAAAACATGTTTCGTCTTAATGAGTCCTATACCAATCGAAGGTCTGGACGTTGCTCTTTCGAATCGTGAAATCGCAGCTCTCTATCTTCTTCCTATCAAACGTTATTCTAAAAATGGCTACTTGCCTTTTTATTTTTTTTCGAACAATAGTACAAGAAAATTTTGAATATAAAATACAATCGAAAAATATAAACTTTAACATTAATAAAAAGAAATACGTGAAAAACTACAGCATGATATTTTACTGGCATAAGTTTTTGTACACATACAAACCTTGATGAATCATCGAATGTATGTCAAAAAATGCATTTCAAAGATTGCTGTAAGTGTATCGATTTCTAGCAGAGTCTTATTTTTCGTCGTTCCAATACGCAAATCGAAACAGAGATTTTAGCTGAACTAAAATTTCATATGCAAGTCAGTTTTCCAAGACTATTGTTAACGAATTATAATGAGTGTATGATTATAAATATTTGGAAAAAAAAAGAAGTTCACAGAGACCGCGAGACCTTTATATCGTTTTTTCAATATAATAAAAACATGCTTCTTTCGATTTCTAATGAATCTGTAGTCAAGTCGAATGTAGTTACTATGAATCGAAAATATCAGAAGTAAAAAAAGGTGTAGGAAAAAGCTAATAGAGTAATCACACGTACAAACCCTTTGCTTTTATATTAGATTTTTCTACAATTCCTGCGATCTTCTCTTTAAAATTTATAGAATCAAAAAGAAGGAAAAAAAAGAAATTGACCATAACACTACTGAAATATCCATTTTTTAGTTTTTTTTTTGTGATGCTTATTGCTTTTTGAGAGAAGTCTGTAGGAAACGCTAATACCTCTTCTTTTACTCAGAATTATGTGCTCTTTATGATGATACCCTTCAAAACTTATTTTCACAAAGTCTTCTGAGATTGGAACATTACCGTTTTTGATTTTTCAGACACCTTTCTCTCATAGACGAACTATGAAATTTCTGTATGGCATACATTTGATGAAAACGTTCATTTGCTATGCATATTAGTATTTGAATTTTAGTTAAATGATTGATATCGTAGAAAAAAAATATGTTGCTCTGATATGTTTATCCTGTACAGTACACGATTTCTGCTATACAGCCATATAATCAAATTAAATTAATGTTGTGTGATTATAATAGGAGACTTTTGACGTCAACTGTATTATAGTTTATGTTTTCGAAAAAATTTCTCGTGTAACGGTACTCTGCCATTCGATGTTTGAAAATATCACTGATCAAGAAACACAAATGTCACAAAAAATCAAGTACGACAATTCCTATATGTTAATATTGTCTATGCATTTCAGCACTAGTTTTAGCTAGAGAGTTGAGACTTTGGAAAATTCAAAATTTTGATTAAATATATATGTGTTAAAAATTCCAGCTTTCTATGACAAGAAAAAACTATGAAAAATGTCGTCGAAAATTTATCCTTAGTTTTTATGGGAAACCATTTATACGCATAAAATATTGAAGATAGTCACATTGGAAGTACGATCGAATCATAGATCACCATATAAGAAAACTTTCATGTGTAAATTATCATTTTCTGCATATTTACATCTTTCGAATGGCGTCGAATTTCGAAAAATGGATATTGGATAAGTCTTCGTCATATTTTCATGATTTTATCAAGCGTTCTTTTCATATAGAAATAGTGCTAAGGCAGTGAGAACGAATCGACAACTTAAATTATGATTCATACGTCAAGTGTAAAAGGAAGCATTGACAGTGGCAACTAAGCGATGAAAAGTAATTATTCAGCGGATACATTTTGCAGTTAGTCTCCATAATGAAATTGTTCCTCCTCTTACTTTTTGATGACAGTTGCAAAAACAACAAAACATGCGAATATATTGTATGAAAAGCTTAGTAGTTTCTCTAAATGATTCAACGAATGAGTACACAGCTGACGTTTTTCTGAATCAGATAATGATTCTTTTTCTTTTCAATAAAAAAAGGTCTGACGCATATAGAATTTTGGATGTTACCAATTAAATCGAACGATCCATAATGATACTGTGATTAATATTTCACAAGATTGTAAAACAAATTCAATTCATTGCAGCAAATGATTCATTGAAATAGAGAGCAAATATGTGTAGAAACATTAATGTATGACATTTTTATCAATTTTTTTTTCAAAGGAGTTCCTTGTGTAAATATTCCTTCAAGCAATACTTATTATGCTATGTTACTCATAAAACATTAAAAGTGTCCATTAAACGAAGTTCGAAAATATTTATGAGTTGCACATTGCTTGTATTTCTCTCATAATAAGGCGCAGAAAACTGAAATTCTGGTACAAGCTCGATTCTGACTTCTAGTGCATATTTAAATATTGTACATACGAATGTACGCTCGTATGAAAATCTGTGAGAGAAGCAAATATTGCTTAAGAGAATTACAAGTTATTTTCTTTTTCACTAGTTATTCTTTAGATTTTTACCTCTATTAATTGTAAATTCATATCATCTATTGTTACTCTTCTTATTCGAAAATTTTGCAAAATAAAATTTAAAAAGTGATTTTTTTATTGGATAGTAATTAGAAGTTATATGTCGAATCTATTAGTCACTTTTTCTTTGCATAGGATAAGCAATACAAAACAAAAATACAGATAGATCATTTGCTTAGAAAAAAGATTTGATCAATATAGAACTTAACTAGTTTTATTTAATCAATTCAACAATTACATGAATAACTAATAGTTACTCTAAAATTGGTTTAAATAATATAAGGGAAAAAAGTTCACGA